TTAACCTCCCAATTAATTGCAAAGTTACTTGATGTTTAATGAATTGCAGCGCTACATCCACAACCAGCGGTCTTACCCCTCTGGCAGGGATACCCGGCTCCCCTCTGTAATTTCAGCATGCAGCTGGATAAAACTCAGTTTTACCCCTGAAAAAAAAAGCCCCTCCAGCTCCTGCCTGTGTGTAAATCTGTGCGTGGATGAAGTAGAAAAACAATCAAGGAATGCCTGGGAGTATTTCATACAAGCTTTATAAAGTCGCTGAACAAAACCCCTGCAAAGCCCATGGGAGCATCTCTGCCCCGACACCGGCGCCACCGACGGCAAAACACGGGAGGAGCTGGAGGGGCTCGGGGCAAGGCACGGGTGGGAGGGAAGGCTCCTCACAGAGGAAAAACCAACAAACAATGGTAAATAAAAAAAAAAAATCCGCTCTTTCAGGAAGCACTGTAGTGAATGAGCACTGGCCTGAACCCAGACCGGCGGCGGCTCGGCGGGGAGCTCCCCGCTGTTTTCTTGCCAGGTGGCTGACAGGCGCTGTCACCTAAAAACTGAAAGTGTCAGGTACCAGAGGTGACACCCGGCCCTCCCGTCGAGAAACAGGCACTCCTGGGCTCCCAGGGAAAGCCAAAACATGGAGAAAACCAGCAAGGAGGCTCCCCGTGGTCACATCTGCAGGGGCAAGATTTAGGATTGCAGGGGCAAGATTTAGGATTTGGGCTGAGACCGTGGCGGGGAGGTGGTGGGACAGGGGCACCCGGCACTCTATAACCCTCTTCACAAGCCCAGACCAGCAAGTGTCATCTCCGTCACTGGAAAGCCGTGACAAGAGCTGGGAATAGCTGCATTCCCCGCACTCCCCAGCAGTTTTCCCTCCCTATTTTCTGGAGGGATGTGAAGACAAGGTGTCCTGCCACCACTTTTCCAGGGTTAAACAGGCGTGGAGCAAAGGGCACCGGCCGAGAGCAGGGCCAGCACCAAGCACAAGCCCCTCGTGGGTTTTCAGGCGGGTGAGGAGCACCTGGGGATGCTGCAGGGACCGAAAGGGTTTCTTTCCTGCTGTCCCCTCGTGCCGGATGTCCCCACTCCCGTGCCCCATCCCACAAGAGAAATCAGAAACCTCTGACCCGGGGCTGCCAGCTCAAGCACAGTCAGCAGCCAAAAAGTGCATTAGCCCAGCAGCCCGCCTGCAGCCAGGATTTCACTTCAGCCTTGCTTCTTTGCAGCCAAACCCTGAAGAAATCAGTTTGGCAAGGGCTCAGTTCAGAAACCAGGGCATAAGCACCGCACACGCACAGAAACGTGGGTAAATGCACCGACCCTTCTTGCATCAGAGGTGCAGGCAGTGGGCAGCCAGCAGAGAGGCTGTGGGCTATGTTTTTTATATATGTATCTGTAGAGATATATATATATACACACACACGTATATAAATATATAACCTTCCTCCTGAAACAGAAAACTTAGCAACCCCTCTGAAGAGCTGCCTAGGTGAGGAGGAGCAGGGTACAAGAGCCTTCACCCTGCGCCTTGAAGCAAAGCTTTTAGAAATCCATCCCTGTGGCAAAGGCCAGGCTCAGGGCTGTGGAAAACAGCACCACTGGCTGCTTCTTAATTAAATACCACTGTCGAGGGGCTCGGTGGCAACGGCAAGAGGTGCTCAGGGCTCTGCCAGATCAGCTCTGGTCTCCTGGAAGGGAAGGGCGGGCTGCCTGACACCTTGCAGGCAGCTACAGGCTCCATTTCCAAGGGGGAAAAAAAAAAAAATAAACATCGCACTGCGTTGTTGCAGACAATGCTACAGGGCCTTGGTTTGTAACCTGCTGCTGCCGAATCGCCTCTTCCGAAAAGAGCAGACTGTTTCCCCATGGGGTCTGCTCACGAATGGCAAAATCCATCACCTCTTCGGAGAGCTGTGCAGTACCTGTGAACTCCCCATGACCCACTAATACCCTCAGCGCTGGCTGGATGAGGTGAAAGGGGTAAATGGATGAAAAGAATTTCTGCTCTAGCTAAAGGACACATGTATTTATCTTCCTTCATGTCCTGAACTGTTGCTGGAGGATAATTTCTGTTGCTACAACACGATGCCTGCACAATGTGCCATGAGTGCTGGAATTGAGTTAGCAGGACCAGCAGAGCAACTGGCATGTGTTCGGCCAGCTATTAGCTTATAAATCCAGCCTTAAATCTGGAGCCAGAGCTCTGATAGATCTGTCTGCACCTCTCCCACTGGCCTCTGCTCCGGTCAGCTGCCTGCCAGCCCCATCGTTCGCTGATGCTAATTATTGCCCTCGCTGCCGATTCACATCAGACCACTCGATTCACATCAGACCACTGTATGGATCCAAAAAGACAGTGTCTAGATCCATTTAAAGTCCCTATTTATTTAAAGTCCCACCAAAACTGCTTGTAGACATATCAGAGAGCACCAATTTGACAGGAGTTTGACAGAAAAATATATGCAATAAAAGTGGTCTTGAAAAACCCCAGGGAGCTGAAGCAGCTCTCTGGCATTAGCAATAAAGAGATTAACGCTACAGAGCTCGATTGCAATGTCACCGTAATTGTGGGATCGCCTTCGGGGGTGGCAGGGTACGAAATCCTGCAGAGCACAGCTGAAAGGAGCTGCATGGAGGACGCCCGGGATCGCTGCCTGTAAGCGGGGTCCGGCTCTTCCCAACACACACACCATCTCGCACAAACTCCTGCGCACACACACTGTGCACACACCGACACACAACTTATTCTTCAATACCGAAGTGCATTTACTCCATGTGGGGAAATACTGGGAAGTTTTTGGCTTTACAGCATCTGTTTTTACCCGCTACAGAAACCCTCCTCCCGCTTTAATCGCCCCATGAGCGAAGAGACTCAGCCGAGATGGAGAGCAACGCGTCCTCGGGGAACTGTACCGATCCCCAGATGTCCTTCCAGTCCACCCTCTACGCAACCACTTACACTCTCATATTCATCCCCGGCCTCCTGGCCAACAGCGCTGCCCTCTGGGTCTTGTGCCGCTTCATCAGCAAGAAGAGCAAAGCCGTCATCTTCATGATCAACCTGGCCGTGGCCGACCTGGCTCACGTCCTCTCGCTGCCCTTACGGATGTATTACTACATAAACCACACCTGGCCATTTGGAAGTTTTCTTTGCCAGCTCTGCTTCTACCTGAAGTACCTCAACGTCCCTCACCTGCATCACCATCCAGCGGTCCCTCTTCCTCCTCCATCCCTTCAAAGCCAAGGACTGGAAGCGGCGGTACGACGCAGCCATCAGCGCTGCCGTCTGGCTCTTCGTCGGGGCGGCGTGCTTACCCCTGCCCGTCGTGAGGAGCCCAGCCTTGTCCAACAGCACAAACACGTGCTTCTCAGACCTGGGGGTGAAGCAGCTGAGCCCGGGAGCCTCCATCGCGCTGGTGACGGTGGCGGAGCTGTTTGGGTTTGTCATCCCCTTCGGCATCATTGCCTGCTGCACTTGGAAGATGTGGCAGTCCCTGCGGGAGTGTCCAACGCAGCTGCAGAACACCAGCGAGAAGCAGAAGGCTTTGCGCATGGTCTTGATGTGCGCGGCCGTCTTCTTCATCTGCTTCACCCCCTACCACATCAACTTCCCCTTCTTCATGATGGTGATAGAGAACATCATCCAGGACTGTGCCGTTCACAGGAGCACGCTCCGCTTCCACCCCATCTCCCTCTGCCTGGCGAGCCTCAACTGCTGCCTGGATCCCGTCCTCTACTACTTCATGACCTCCGAGTTCCAGGACCAGCTGCTGCGCCACAGCTGTGCCGCCCTGCGGGCTCGCTTCACGCGCCGCGGGAGCAGTCTCTCCATCACCGAAACCGGCCACGACATTCGTATGAAGAGGAGACATCTCCCACGCTTTAAGTTTTGGTCTCTTCCGAAGTTCTTCGGCCGAATAAACAGCATGGAAATCCCCCCCATGCCACCTGACGAGCTTCTGCTGGAGTCCATCTCTTGAAACATAAGCCATTTCTGTCCGCGTAGGTGCTTCTCATAGCTCGAGCGAAGATTGCGTTAGGTCTCCAAATACGTCTTGAATCACCCTTGTGTGCAACAGACGCACAGGATCTGACCTAGAAGGACATTTTGACAAAAAAAAAGTGTCTGCTGGTTGTGTTTTCGCTGTTGGGGACTATTTGCCTTACAGCGTTCTCCATCCTGATATTGTTAAAAATACCCAAAAGAGCTGTCGCTGATGCCAGTACTTCTCCTGAGCTGAACTGCAGCTGGGTTCAGGTCCCTCTCATTTCTGTTGTTTCAGCGCTTCTACATACCTGTCATTTTTGAAAACCCTTCTGAATCCTGAGCGGCAAGCGGATGGCTCAGCCTCAGCGCACCTCAGGGAGGTAGCACCAGGGGAGTTTCAGCCCCGACCGCAGCTACCTGCTGCCCGTGGTGACTTACAGCATCTACCGTGCTCGCGTGAGGCTCTAGATCAGGACAGTTAATTATCTCCATGTAAACTGAACCTCTTTCCATTGCAAAAATCAATCATCTGGACCTAATCTAGCCTGCAAGACTATAACTTTACCAACATATATCAAGCAAAGAGTATTAACCTATATCCACGTCAGTATTAAAGGGATTTTTCAAACTGGGGTCAGCTCACGCTATTGAAAAAGGCACCCAGAGCTGAGCAAGGGAGTCCGCCTGGCTCCCGGGAGCTACGGGATGCTCAACGGATTATGGGGGGGATGCATACTTGGAAAACAGACTGTGACTGGATATGCCACGAGCAAAGAGGAGGAAGGATGAAGGATGTCTCCAAGGCACATCTGCTGACAGAGAGCCGGGGCGAGCCACGGAAAGGAGGACTAGTAACTGGCGTTGCTGTCTCTTGTGTCGTTATTAGGAGTCTTGTGTTATCTGGCATTTTACTAAAGCCTGTGGTCGTAGATTAAGATGTTACCGAGCCTCCCAGTTTTGCTTTAAAAACCAGAAAAGGTCCCAGCCCTTACTGGGTATTGAGAAAAGTTTACAAAACTGACCCAAGTGCATCCTTAAGGCTTCAAGCTTGGGAGGAAATAAAGTGATCTCAACACGTATTTTGGCATCATGGGTATTATTTTAAGCGCTTGTAAATAGTCTCATTAGGCACCGCGTCTGCTCTTAAAGGAATGATACAATCTGTAGAGGGGGGGACCGCAGTTTGGGGCGTTGCCACCGCGGCTCCTCGCACAGCGGCCAGCGCGGGGGCTGCGAGGTTTCCTCCTTGTGGGGTAAGGCATCAGCAACTGCAATGCCAAAAAACCCTCGGGGAATTATATAAGTAAACGCAGGCAGAGGGGGTTTGATAGAAAACAGCTTTGCCGATGATTGGATGCACGTTTCCAACCCATGCAGCGTTTCTGGGAAGCGTGGAGCGGGTGGTGGTTTACCCCCGCATTGCCAAGGCTGGTCTTAGAAATACAAGGGAAGATCCAGATAACCTGGAGGAATTTGCTTTGGTACTTAGTGAGCCAGAGACCGGCAGAAAACACCGAGACAGGCAGAAAACACACCGCCACACAGCTCTGTCCCAAATCTCCTCCTCCTCTCACAAAAAAAAAAAAAAAGAATAACAAAAGGACTCGTGTTCCTTCTTTGCTTGGGGGGAACAAAAAAGTTTTCAGGGCTGAAAAAAAGCTGCTTCAGATGGCACAAACCCAGCAGCGTGTGCAGGCAAAACAGGAAACCCAAGCAAAAAACCTCGCCGATGCGATGGCTGGCAAGACCCGGCTCTGGGCAGCCGGCACAGACAGGACAAGTCACACCACCAGCACCTTAACTGGGAGCGTGGTTTTACCCTGCGAGTGTCTTTTGGGAAGGGTACAACCCTTAGAGCTGGGGTGGACATCCAGGTAGCCCTCAATAACCACAGGTAGGTATTTAAGTCCTGCTGACTGACCACAAAGCCCGTATTGCGGCTCTGACCTTACTGGCAGTGCCAGCTCCAGGTTTCCCAGTAGCACCAGTTACCGGTGGGACTTTGCCGGTTTGTTTTCAGATTGCACAGCTTTTCTGCTATTTCTGCAACGCAGTTTCTCGCTTCCAAAAAGAAAACAGGAAAAAGAAAGCAAAACAAGAACTCTCACTACTCTGTCACACAGAGACGCAGCAGCAACCCTTACTCGGGCTGCCCCTGCTGCCCCTTGGGCTTGCCTGCACCGCAGGTTGCCTCGGAAATACAGCAGAAAAATCCCTTTCTGGGTTATAGAATCATAGAATCATTAAG